GAGAGATGCAAATTAAAACGAGGTAGCACCTCACTCCTGTCAGAATGGCTACCATCAACAAATCAACAAATGCCGAAACCGTTTGGCTCAGTGGATAGAGCGTCGGCCTGCGGACTGAAAGGTCCCAGGTTCGATTCTGGTCAAGGGCATGTACCTGGGTTGCGGGCACATCCCCAGTGGGAGATGTGCAGGAGACAGCTGATCGATGTTTCTCTCTCATCGATGTTTCTAACTCTATCTCTCTCCCTTCCTCTCTGTAAAAAATCAATAAAATATATTAAAAAAAAACAAATCAACAAATGACAGGTGCTGGAGAGGATGCGGAGAAAAAGGAATACTCGTGCACTGCTGGTGGGAATGCAGACTGGTGCAGCCACTGTGGAAGACAGTATGGAGTTTCCTCAAAAAACTAAAAATGGAACTCCCATTTGACCCTGTGATCCCACTTCTAGGAATATATCCTAAGAAACCAGAAACACCAATCAGAAAGAATGTATGCACCCCTGTGTTGGTAGCAGCACAAGCTACAATAGCTAAGATCTGGAAACAGCTCCAGTGCCCACAAGTCTATGAGTGGGTAAAATTTGTGGTACATTTACACCAGTGATGGTGAACCTTTTGAGCTCGGCGTGTCAGCATTTTGAAAAACCCTAACTTAACTCTGGTGCCGTGTCACATATAGAAATTTTTTGATATTTGCAATCATAGTAAAACAGACATTTTTGATATTTATTTTATATATTTAAATGCCATTTAACAAAGAAAAATCAACCAAAAAAATGAGTTCGCGTGGCACCTCTGACACTCGTGTCAGGTTCGCCATCACTGATTTACACCATGGAGTACTATGTAGCAGTAAAAAAGAAGGACCTCTTACCCTTTGAGACAGCATGGAGGGACCTGGAGAGTATTATGCTAAGCGAAATAAACCAGTTAGATAAAGACCACTATCACATGATCTCACTCATATGTGGAATCTAAAGAGCAAAATAAACTGATGAACAAAATAGATCCAGAGACATGGAAGCATATTCCTATAGAATCTCTGAGGGAAGACGGGGAGGGTGGGTGGGTGAGAGGAGATCAACCAAAGAACTTGTATGCATATATGCATAACCCATGGACACAGACCATAGGGTGGTGGAAGCCTGGGGCGGGGGTGGGAATGGGCTAGAAGGGGGTCAATGAGCAGGGGCAGGGAAGGGAACATATGTAATACTTTCAACAATATTTTAAAAATAGCCCAGCTGGTGTGGCTCAGTGGTTGAACGTAGACCTATGAACCAGGAAATCACCGTTCAATTCACATTCGGGGCACATGCCCCGGTTGCAGGCTCAACCCCACTGGGGGTCGTGCAGGAGGCAGCTGATCAATGATTCTTTCTCATCATTGATGCTTCTTTCTCTCTTTCCCCCTTACTTTCTAAAATCAATAAAAATATATATTTTATATATATATATTCACGTCAGTATTCAAATTTCCCTTATGGTCTCATAATTATTTTATAGTTGGTTTGAATCAGAATCCAGGTAACATTTTTATCTCACATTTTGTTGCTGTCTCTTGTTTCTTTTTTTAAAACACTATTTTATAGTTTACATATTTTAAATGTTTTTATTGAGAGAGAGGGAGGAGAGAGCAAGCACAACATTGATCAGCTGCCTCCTGCACAGCTCCTACTGGGGGATGGAGCCTGAAACCTAGGCATGTGCCCTGACCAGAAATTTAACTGGTGACCTCTTGATTCATGGGTTGATGCTCAACCATTGAGCCATACCAGCCAGGCTCTTGTTTGTTTTTAATCTAAAGATTTCACTCTTTTTCTTTTAATTTTTTAAAAAATATATATTTATTGATTTTTTACAGAGAGGAAGGGAGAGGGATAGAGAGTTAGAAACGTCGATGAGAGAGAAACATCGATCAGCTGCCTCCTGCACACCCCTTACTGGGGATGAGCCTGCAACCAAGGTACATGCCCTTGACTGGAATCGAACCTGGGACCCTTCAGTCCCCAGGCCGACGCTCTACACAGTGAGCCAAACCAGCTAGGGCTTTCTTTTAATTTTTGAAGGGACTGAGTTATTCATCTCTAATTGTTGATTTTACTGAATGCAACCTAAGGGCATTTAATTTTTTCCACTCTGTTCCCTTTATTTCATTTTTTTAAAAATATATTTTATTGAATTTTTAGGGAGAGGGATAGTTAGAAACATCGATGAGAGAGAAACATCGATCAGCTGCCTCCTGCACACCCCTACTGGGGATGTGCCCGCAACCAAGGTACATGCCCTTGACCGGAATCGAACTTGGGACCCTTGAGTCCGCAGGCCGACGCTCTATCCACTGAGCCAAACCGGTTAGGGCCCTATATTTCTTATAAACGGCTCTAGAGGGGTTCTTGTTGCATTTTGCTTTTTTTTTTAAATTCTCACCTGAGGATATGTTTTCATTGATTTTAAAGAGAGGAAGAGGCGGGGGAGAAGGGAGAGAGAGAGAGAAACATCTATGTGAGCGAGAAACATTAAATCAGTTGCCTCCAATATGAGCCCTGAGCAGGAATCAAAGCCACAGTCTAGGTATGTGCCCTGACTGGGGAATCAAACCCGAAACCTTTTGTTGTTCGTTACTATGCTCCTAGCAATTGAGCCACCTGGCCAGGGCGAATTGTGCTTTTTCACAAAACTAATTTCTTTTTTTTTAAAAATATATTTTATTGATTTTTTACAGAGAGGAAGGGAGAGAGATAGAGAGTTAGAAACATCGATGAGAGAAAAACATCAATCAGCTGCCCCCTGCACCGCCCCCCCACTAGGGATGTGCCTGCAACCAAGGCACATGCCCTTGACCGGTATCGAACCCGGGACCCTTCAGTCCGCAGGCCAATGCTCTATCCACTGAGTCAAACCGGTCAGGGCAAGACAGTGACTTTCATCTGGTTGGTGAGGCCTTGAGACAAAGGACAACCCAGCAGCGTAACAGCCCTGTGAGGCTACAAAGCAGATCCGCCCCCATGGAGCGGAGGCAACAGCGACTCCACAGGACCCAGTCAGGCCGTACTTGATTCCTCACCCACCAAAACTGAGGCGGGCGTGGTTTGGTCATTACGTTTTGGGGTAATTTGAAATGCAGCAGTAGATACCCACACAATATGCTTCTGCATGTCTGAGTCACAAGTTTGTGTTTTTTTTTTATGTGCCTCAGGCATGAAACAGCTCTGGCCACCGACACAGGCATCAAGCTAGGATGAACTAAGGACTGTACATCTGCTTTGCCCCTGACCGATATAAGAGCAACACCACCAATCAGGTGTCTCACAATCAAGTTTTTAAGTTCTGAATTCTGGAAAAAAAAAAAAAATGGGTCTGTTTGCCCCTAGCTGGTTTGCTCAGTGGATAGAGCATCAGCCTGCGGTCCCGTGTTCCAGTCAAGATCACATGTTCAGGCTGTGGGCATGATCCCCAGTAGGGGGTGTAGGAGGCAGCCAATCAGTGATCCTCTCATCATTCATGTTTCTCTCCCTCTCATATACAAAAAAAAACGAAAAAAAAAAAACATGGTCTATGTTCAAGTTTCACAGTTCAGTATTTGTGGGCCTCCTCTGGGCCGGGCAGTAAGATTCACTAAAAACCCTAGGGCTGTGGTCGGCAAACCGCGGCTCTTGAGCCACATGCGGCTCTTTGGCCCCTTGAGTGTGGCTCTTCCACAAAATACCGACTTCTGCGCATGGGCCACGAATTTTCAATTGCATTGTACGTGTGCGCCCGCATGTGGCTCTCGAGCCGTGGTTTGCTGACCATGGCCCTAGGGCAGGGGTGGGCAAACTTTTTGACTCGAGGGCCACAATGGGTTCTTAAACTGGACCGGAGGGCCGGAACAAAAGCATGGATGGAGTGTTTGTGTGAACGAATATAAATTCAAAGTAAACATCATTACATAAAAGGGTACGGTCTTTTTTTTTTAGTTTTACTCATTTCAAACTGGCCGGATCCGGCCCGTAGTTTGCCCACGGCTGCCCTAGGGGGTCCGCTCAGAAACTGGCCACACACCATGTGGTAGGCACTCAAGTGTTTGATAATTGAGTCCTTACAACCCCATGAAGCAGGGTGCACCCTGTGTAAGAAGTGAGACTAGAATGTGAACTGGGCCCTGAAAAAAAAAAAAAGTTCACCCAGCCGGTAGCTCAGTGGTTGAGCATCAACCTATGAACATGCCCAGGTTGAGGGCTCAATCCCCAGTGAGGGGCATGCAGGAGGCAGCACATCAATGATTCTCTCTCCCTTCCTCTCTGAAGTTAATAAAAATGCATTAAAAAGCCCAGCCATCCCCTGGAACCCTAACCCAGATGGAACCTTTTCTCCACCTGGTTAACCCTTAAAGCAATCTGGGTATTGCCGACTATTTCACCTTACTGCACATGCCAATGCCACCTGAAACACCATTGTAACTAGCCATCTGGTCCGCCCTTCACCTCCTGTTCTCTAGGTAGGAGCCTATTGTTTTCCCAATACCCAGCCTGGTACACTGGTGTCCAAGTTTGGCATATACTTGTTAGAGGACCAATGACTCACACCTAGGCCCAGTGTAGAAAGGAAGTCCACAGCCACCACGGGACATCATCATCCAGACACTAGTGCCTGGTCAGAGACCATGAGGAAATGTAGGACAGACCCACTCAGGGAGGCAAGTGCATCACCTGGTCACCTCAATAGCATTAGGACACAAGTGATTGTTGGGACAACCAAGGCCCCAGCAGGAGCCAGCCAGGCGGGGCAGTGCTGCAGGGTACGTGTTTGTGTTCCCGGCTTGCACCCCCACTGGGATTGTCCTGGGCAGGCTTCTGCCCATGCACAGGGTTCCTGACACTGAACCTTTACATTTGGTTTGACTTTACCTTTTGCTCATTCTGAGGTTAGGGAAGCAAAACACTACCCTGTGAAACTGAACAGCAAGTTGCCTTAGGTAATGTTACTGCTTAAAATGAAACCCTAACCCAAACAAGGACAGACACTGTTTAGTTTTTATTTCATAATCATAAACTTAACTCTGTCATCCAGCTAGACTGGGAAAGGGTAGGGAAATTATGGAACCCAATAAACTGGCAAGAGCACAAAGATTATGGAACATTCCAAGCAAATGGGGATGAAGGGGTGCTCTCCTGAGCTACGGAAGGAATGGTCTGGTGGTTAAGATAAAACACAAGTCAAATTTATTAGAGTTGCCCACAGTCAGCAATGGTGATCTTCTTGCTGGTCTTGCCATTCTTGGACCCAAAGCGCTCCATGGCTGTCACAATATCCATGCCTTCCTTCACCTGGCCGAAGACCACATGCTTGCCATCCAACCTGGAAACAGAACAAACACCACCAGTAACCAGAGAGAACAAGCAGCCTGCATTGTCAATTATGATGAGAAAAGAGCCCCACAAACCAATAATGCATACCCAAGAGCACACCAGAAGGGAAGCTTATCAAATGCTTTATAAATACTGGAAACACCATAGATTGACTCAAAAAAAGTGGCTTAAGATTCTCCAACTGAGGCTAAAAAGTTTATAATAGCCCAGCAAGCATGGGTCAATGGTTGAGAGTCAACCTATGAACCAGGAGGTCCTAGGTTCCATTCCTAGTCAGGGGATATGCCCGGGTTGCAGGCTTGTTCCCCAGTGTGGGGTGTGCAGTAGGCAGCTGATCAATGATTCTCTTTACTGATGTTTTTATATCTTTCTCCCACTCTCGGAAAAAAGTTTAAAAAGTTTATAATGGACCCCTAAAGAGAGCCAGTAAGTCACACATGCAAATTAGATAAAAATACTTTTAGCCTAAGCCTGGCTGGTGTGGCTCAGTGGTTGACCTATGAATCAGGTCACAGGTTCAATTCCTGGTCAGGGTATAGGCCCGATTTATGGGCTCAATACCCAGTGTGGGGCGTGCAAGAGGCAGCTGACCAATGACTCTCATCATTGATGTCTCTCTCAAGAAAAATAACGAAAAAACAAAAAAAATCTTTTAGCCTAGCCGGTTTGACTCAGTGGATAGAGTCTCAGCCTGTGGACTGAAGGTTCCCAGGTTCGGTCCCAATCAAGGGCACATGCCTGGGTTGCAGGCTCGATCCCCAGTAGGGGGTGTGCAGGAGGCAGCTGATCAATGATTCTCTCATCACTGATATTTTTTCCTCTCCCTTCCTCTCTGAAGTAAATAAAAGTATATTTTAAAAAACATTACTTTAAAAAAACATGTTTTTCATTGATTACAGAGTGGAAGGAAGAGCGTTGGAAACATCAATGATGAAAGAGAATCATCAATTGGCTGCCCAACCCCCAGTGGGAAACAAGCCTGCAACCTGGGCATGTGCCCCGACCAGGCACCAACCTGTTACACCTCCTGGTTCGTAAGTTGAAACAAGCCCCTCACCCACACCACTCAGGCTAAAAATACTACTTTTAAGTTAACTATCCAGCAGCCGAGCCCTGGTTCACTGTTCACAGGATCTTGCTCCCTCCCTATAGCAAAGGATCTCAACTTGTAGGTATGCATGTTCTCCTAGTACCCCAGACATAAGCAGCAGGGAAAGCCTGAAGCCCAGTAGTTAGCGTTCCTTGGTTGCCCCTGCTGGGTGCTGTCCTTACCACTCAGTCTTGGCCGTGCAGATGAAAAACTGGGAGCCGTTTGTGTTCGGCCCAGCATTTGCCATGGACAAGATGCCAGGACCTGTATGTTTCAGGACAAAGTTCTCATCCTCAAATTTCTCCCCATAGATGGACTTGCCGCCTGTGCCATTGTGGCGTGTGAAGTCACCACCCTAGAAATGTGAGAGAGAAAGAGAAATCTGTCACTTTTACAACATAATCAGAAGACGTGCCAAGTGGGCAAGGTTCAAACTTCAAAACTTAAGTTTAAACTGACCAGAAGGTATCCTTGAAACCAAAAAGGAACAGTTCATGTTTACGCATTCTGAATGGTACTGGCCCAATCCCAAAGCTAAAACCCAAATCAAAATCCGTAAATTTCATACCTGGCACATAAATCCCGGAATAATTCTGTGAAAGCAGGAACCTTTATAACCAAATCCCTTCTCCCCGGTGGTCAGAGCACGGAAGTTTTCTGTTAAAAATAAAGAAAAAGGATATATGCACGTACCCACCCCCCCATAACACTGGGCCGCCTTTACTAAAGGTTAAAGGAACTAACCTGCCGTCTTTGGAACCTTGTCCGCGAACAGCTGCAAGAGAAGAATGACACTTGCTTACATCTTTCATGGCTCACCGCCCGCCTTCAGGGCTCCGAACCAAGTCCATTCTCTCACTAGAAGGGACTGAGGCCCAACAGGCGCTCCGGGCGCCCGAGGTCCTGCCAAACATCCAGAACCCGCGGTAACTGAGACGGTGCGAGCCTTCGAAGAAGCGACTTGGGGCTTTGCAGCGTTATGTCACCCACTTCTAGCG